CAGAGGATGACACTATACTGTGGTCACTATAAAAGATCAATGTAAAATTAAATGTTAAGTTAACTGATGTCTAGTACATCAACATCTCCAGAGTGGCTTCTGTGATTAAGCAACACTACTAGGAACAAAACATCTGGATCTACAATGATTTTCTTTTTCCAGTGAACCACAACAAAAGCTGTTCCTTTGGCCATTACTTGAAAGTGGAAGTAGCTCTGCACCTTTAAAGCTTATCCATTATTTTCCTTCAGGGATCAGAACTCTACTCTCTGCTTTCACGCTCTATTCAGAGCCTGTCCTTCGCTGATGTGGACTGTCTGAGCGGCAACAACAGAGGCTGCTCCACTGCAGTACAGTGGTATCCCACCACCTCTAGACTGCTCTGGGGGCCTCTCCGTTACTGTGCTCTAGGCTTTTTCTCTCGGATACTGTTCCTCACCAGCTCTTCCTAGTCCTTGCATTCCCAACTTTGGTTGGTGCTGCTAATCAACCTGTCTCCAGCCTGGCTTTCTGCACACTCTAGATCCCAACTTGTGGGAGGAAGTGCTTATTTCTTACCATGTTTCATCTTCTCTCTTCAGTTAGATAAGCAATGTTGCACTGCTCTGGTTCAGCCTTACCATGGATTTTAGAAACACAAAATTGAGCATACAAATTTACTGTCTCCCACTGAAAGGCTTTTTCAAAGCAGTAGTTCAAGTTCCCCCATTATTTCTATTTAAAATATGGCTCTGTCTTTTTGGATTAGGAAATCTGGCCATGCAGTAAATATAGTCAGCTTCACATTTATTTCCCATTCATTCTTCTACTTAATCTCAACAGTTTGCCACATGAATTTGTAGCACCCTAATCATGAGATAAGAGGACAGTTGGAAGAAGCTTTATTTTCTTCCAATAACATGTTAATTAATTCTGTAGTCCTTAGAAACAAGTCCTGCAACCTTCTGCTCTTCTGACATGAAGCACATCTGATAGACAGGTTTTTCTGCCACTATGAAAAAGATGCTGCTCAAAGGACACCATGTTAATCTTTTCCTACAGGTTATTCAGTTGACTTGCTGCTAAAAGTACATTCTGTTATCTTCAGCCTCCTTCTCTCTCCTATAAATATAATTTTCCCATCATCACTTGGTTGAATTCTACTTAATTCTTTCTTTTTGATTATTTTCCCCTGTTCCTTTGATTGCCATTTTTTTCTACTATACTATTCTCTTTGTTTCTTTCTCAGCTAAATTTTTGCCCTGGTGGAGAAAAGAGATTTACAGTGCAGAACTACTTGTTTATCACGTAAGCTCAGAAGTACTGCTAGAAATATAAACATATATAAACACCATACTTGGTCCTGAAACAAAAAGACAGTGAGAATAGCTTACAGATGCATTATGGGGACAACCAAGATACTCTTGCACTTTCCATAGAAATCATTATGTATTCACTATTTTTAACAGGGAAGGGAAATTGGCTGATGGCTTCATCAGTGGTGCCACATCCAAAGCCATCTTTAGTGACACCACTGAGAATGTGCTGCCAATCTGTCCCCTCTTCACAGAGCCCCTAAAGAGGCAACAAGCAGACACATTGGTAGACATATCAGGCAGAATCCTTCAAATGCAACCTAAGAGTTAAAAAAAAAAAAAAAAGGAGGGAGACTTTACCTGGTCTTTCATGGTCTTCCCTAAATCTTTAACATCTTTCATGTTAATAGCATTCTTCCCTCCCTTCTCCTTTCCCTTCTTCTTGTTCTTCTTTTTGAACAAGCATTTCTTACAGAGACAAAAGCAGCAGGTAAGGATTAATAGGACTGCAACTATGGCTATGGCTATTAAGGCCCAAGGTGGCACTGGAAGAGAAAAAGAAACACACACACAAACAGAAAGCAGCAAAGTGTTAGTCAGGTTAAATTAAGAAACAAGCATGCTTTTCTTACAGTTAAGGCTTTTTCAATGAAAATGCCATGCAAAAATACCTAAGATGCTTTCTAGGATGCCCTGTAATCACATGTATGTTTCTCCTGGATGAGCATTTGCACACACAACCCCAATTTAACACATCACGTGGGATCTATTTACATGCCTGGTGGCAAATATCAAGCTAACTCGCAGCTATTTGGATTAATCAACCAGGTTAAAACAATATACCCCAAATATTTACACTGCCCAAATCTGTAAAACGCTCAGCACATTTGAGAATTCACTTGCTTCTTATTTGAATTGTCTGCACAACCCACCTGGCATTGCGGATGGATCGGGTGGGATTCTCTGGGAATCTCCCTTTGGCACACGATCCCAGCAGTCGGTTTTAACAAACAGCCCTTCTCCTGTGCCCACTGCTGCACTTGGCAGACTTGCACAGTCCTTACTGCACATGCAGGTCAAGGTCACCAGTAAACACTGAGGAAGGACAGAGGACTGTCCAGCCCAAGGGCATTTATGCTATTAGTCATCATGCCCTAACATTAGCACAGTTTTAGTAAATAACTAGACTTCCACCTATGTTCCTACAAATGAAGGCTTATGTTCAGTTTATTTATTCATTTCAGGGTTCTGGACATAGCTGAAGTATAAATAAATAATACCATACACTGACTATGATAAGTGCTCTTGCTAAACATCAGGATTTTGGAAAATAAGGAAGTAAGATGACATTTAAATGCAAGTACTTCAGCTGAGAATTATCCTCATACAAATCAGCTTTAATGACCGCTGCTTCTCACATTTAACCAAAATACCTGACAAAACTTAAAATGTTATAAATTGTCATTCTCTAAAATCTCAAAATGTACTCAGTCTATAGGGTCTGCAAGATAGTCTCTCAATGCATTACCCAAAGGTCTCTAATACGATACAGAGCAAAACCGAAGAGTGAATCAAATTTGACATGTTGACGTCAGTGAATCACAGAAGAGAACGGACAGTATAAATAGAGAAAATTAATTGCTTAAAGGAGCTAAGCAGAGTGTAAAGTACAGTCACAGGAAGCTCCACGAGAAAATACCATTTCAGGAACAGGATAAAATATTTTTAATTTCCTTATCCTAAGTTTAACAGCCATATTTCTACCTTTTATTCAGATGTCCTTGGTGATAGATACAAAAATAATCAATAATTTCTGTAACACTTACTGTGCCTCCAAATGTTCATTTAATGCAGCTGCTCTATGAGAGGAGCAGCACCATATGTAGAACAAATGAGAACTGATTACTAAACAAATGAATGCTAAAAGATAAACAGTGAACAGATTAACAGCTGTTTAAGGGATGTATTTTATGAAGTCATGAACAACAATTCTGCAGTTAAAGTTGCGTTTGGATCTGCACTTATCACAACTTACTTTCCTATATTTCATGCATTAATGATTTAACATTATCCTCAAATCTGGTGTTGTAACATTTCATGGGACAACTGGCCCTGCTACAAAATATTACTTTTACATCAAAGAACCAGTGCCTTTCACTGTTGTGCGTTCTTTCCAAATCCCATACTTCACTTTCCTGTGCTAGACAAAGCCTTTTAAATTGTACTTAAATAATGCTATGCTTCCTATTTGAGCTAATTTAGAGGAATTTTGTCCATATGAAATGAATGATGACCCTAAATGCACCTGCTCTTTGCTTTGCTGCCTTGTCAGCAGGGCTCTAAAATCCAGGAGTTCCAGGAAAGAGGGAGCTGGAACATGGGAAGGGACCATGTGGGCATGGTGGCACCACGGTAGGAAAGAAAATGCACACAGTCAACATCCGTAAGTCCACAGAAAATTAAGTTGGGCTGTATATGACCCATATACAACTGCCATAGTTGAAAAAGCTTGTGGAGTCAGTGCCTGTAAGTGGGTTCTGGCATCACTGCGTTGCGTCTCCAGCGCACAATGCAGGGAGCCCGTGGCGCAGTTCAAACACTTGTGGGTATCATCTTCAGCAGCTCTTCTGTGATGTGTTATCTGCTCTCATCTATTTGTAATTTAATTTCCCCTACTAGGTCTTGGGATACAATTAAATGATCATGAAATTAATATCTGAGAATTCAAAGAAAATGCCCTCTTTTTAATTTTATTATTTTTTGTTAAAGAAAGCAGAAATAAGAAAGAATTTTTGAAGGGTTACCCAAAATCTGGACATTTCCAAAAGAGCTTCAACACTCATTTCTGAAAAAGCACAGCAAAAAAGAGATGTTTTTCCTAATAATAGTGCACTATCTCTGTCAAGCAGATGGCTCATCAGAATATTGCCACTGACAGAGAACGTTCAAGCAAATATTGGGGGTGCTTGATGTACATTTTAGATTTAGGACAAGTGAAACCTAGAGATAGCACCGACTTTGCAGTGGTGTTTGCTTCCTTTCAAAAATATTATTTAAGTAATTCCAAATGTTAATCATTTTACACATTACAGACAAGATTTTCCAGAATGAGGAAAGTCTTGTAGGCTTTTCATTTTTTTGGGCTTCCCAATTCATGAAACTGCCAGGGGAGATTCATTTTCAGCAAAAGCTGAGTTCCTAAAAAATATTTTTCTGCAAAGTGTGGTGCACACCCAGAACGAAATGACTAAGTTACCAATTTTGAAAACTCATACCTACAGCCTTTAATATTTTGGGATAGCAATTGGGACTTGTATCTACTAATAGCTTATGGATAGCATGTGAACCTTCCTGTTATTGCAGAATGGATCATTTCAGAGATGCATAATGTTTATAATGCATTTTTGCAGTTTATTAAACAATTAAGAGTTTTCTATCCATATGCATAATTTTCAAATAACTTAATTTCCCTGGTGCTCCCTGCAGTTTGAACACTAATTCAATCTGTCTTAAATCAGCTTGATCAGGTTCTGTAGTTCAGCATGAAACCTCAAGGGTCTTAGGACATGAGTACTGAACGACAGACCTGTGCTGTAGATGTAGGACAACGGGTGACATAAAAAACACAGACCTTAACCAAGGAATGAAGTTGGGATCTTCTTGTACAACTTGTCTTACCCAGTGCCAGCACAAGGGGGTGCCTTGAAACCAGCAATACTCCCCTATGCTATCAAGGAAAAGCTAAGGTTTAAGCATAACTAATATATGTATAAGCTTTCCAGCGCACCAATGCTATATTCTCTGCACAGTTCCTGTGGGCAAATAAATAATACTTATTTAGAAAAAGCTGTCGTGAATCACTACATGATTCAGTGATTCTTAAAGGCTGCTAAAGAAAATCTATGGGAGGGGATCTGCCACGGTAGCATACTTGGTAAGTAAGGGCTTGAATTAGTCTTCTTGATCCAGTCAAAACAGGATGCAACCTAGGACTGTGTTCAGAAATGCAGGAATAGAGCCTACTATCTGCAAAAGGAGACCACAGAGAAAATAAAATGCTTGGCAGAGCAATAGCAGGGAACTGAAACTAAGACTGTTGATATTCAGGCATTTCAGGCACCAATCCTGCACCCTTCACTCATGCTGAACATGGATGCAGGTAGAGAAATCCTGAGCTCTCCTTCCGTTCTCTGTCCTTCCCCACCGTTAATGTCAGTGTGGGTTGCGTGCATGTTGCGGGGCATTTGGTGCATTCCTGGCCCTTCAATTACGCAGACCTTTTACAGTACACTGCCATTAGCATTTTCATTTAGGCTATGAGTGCACTTAGGAGGCAAATCTCCAGACCATCCCCATTTACCATTCTTGGACTTGTGCTTTTCAGCAGTATGGGAGTGCCTGGAGGCACTGAATGGGAATACATGCCCCCAGAGCATCCATGTTCTGACTGCAGAAGACCCACAGCCCACCAGGGCAGACCTCTCCAGTATCACCCCCATAACATCTGCAGTGTGCTTTCGCACTTGAGATCAACTGCTTCACACTATGGATTTCTTCTATTGCCCTAAATAATATAGGTTGTGTCTCAACCTGTCATTAAATCTTATTCCACTGACTACACTGGGTTCAAAGGAAAACACTTATTAATGAGTTATTCAATTTAAGAGCTAAAAATTATGCTCTTTATATAAAGATATCCTTACTTAGCTTTACAAAACGCTTGGAGAGGTAAGGGCCTTGGGTCTAATACTGACATTTTAGCTAGACTATCTAAAATTATCAAATGCCTCAGAGGACATTTGACTCCAGAGGAAAAGACAGTAAAAAGGAAGACAGAAAATGTGTAACACCATCAAAGTGCTGTGGTCTCTATGACAGAATAAAGCCCTTAATGCTAATAATATTCCCTCCTTTCTCTGTGAAACTTTTCTGTCTTAAAAAATGATCTGAAGAGAGGGAAGGTCAAGAAGGAATAGAGGAGATGAATTACAAAGTGAAGACTGCCGTACTGAGAACACTGTCCATCCTCTGATGACTCTTATATAGGCAAGAACAGCCCTACTTAAACCAGGGCTGACAGAAAAGGACTATCTGATGATGGCAGATTCCATATTACTCTACGAAGGCCACTGCCACATCAGAATTGATAAATATTAATACTCCGTGTTTCAGAAGGGACGTGATAATAAACAGGAAGCTGCAATTGCCAAATTGTTGTATGTGAAGAGCATCACATTAATCTAAACCAGTGGTAGCCCGAACATTGAGAGCAGTGGCAGTTCTCATTTATTAAACTGTAGTTTTATCTTAGCTTTTTTTGCACTTAAAGCTTCTAATCAGGGAGAAAAGGTAATATATAGCCCCATTTACATTTTCTTTATAAAAACTTCCCAGGGGCCATGTTCTGAGAACTGGTTTGACTTTCATTAGAAGTTACTTTAAAAAAAAAAAAAAAGAAAATGTACTGAGAGAGCAAGGGCCCAAGTAATAGATACCACTATTCACAGAAGAAGGTATACAGGAGTGATCGATGCAAAGAAAAGGA